GAGCCCTGCCCTGCGGAGAGGTGCCCTTGTGCGTTCTCTTCCTGGAGCGCAGTGGGACTGGCTGCGGGGTTTGTGGCTGCCGCTCAACCAGGGCTGGTCTTGGCGGCGACAGCAGGGTGGGGTGGGCTCCTGAAGGTGCGCACTGCGGTGGCACCAGCTGAGATAAGGTGGGCACCTGGTTGCTCTGCTCCAGCTGAAGGAGCAGCTGGCAGGTTGGAGACAGCTGCAGGTCATCCTGCAATGAGTCCTAGGAAGAGTGCAGCCTTGTTACTCAACCACAATTGGCAGGAACAAAAATAGAGTTGCATTAAAACATACATTGAAACATCCACTCCAATAATATATATTGAAATTTTGCTTTTTATTAGTTGATCGTACTCATATGCTTTCTGTAAAGGTGTGCGGAAACTTAGATTGAAACAGCCACTCCAAGAATATATCTTGAAATTTCGGTTTTCATTAGTTGAGCGTCCTCATATGCTTTCTGTACACGTGTGAGGGTATCAAATTCTTTACTGCAAACAATATTGGAAATTTAACTGCAAATCAAATTAAGATAAATTACATTTCATACAAATTGAGCAGGAATAGCTTAATAAAACATGGCTGGAAACCTTTGATACAAAGCATACCTATCAAAATGACTAAAATATTATCTATGAAACATTTCACTGCTTGCATTAAGAAAAGGAAGGCCCAGAAAAAACAAGTTAGGTGTAACATGGCAAGCGAGGCAATGACTACCTTATTTATTTGAATATTGCTGAAGGTTTTCTTTCTTGTCACTGCCCTTTAAATTTGGGGGTTCAACTATAATCATAACCGGCAAAGGCTGACCTGTAAAAGCGAGCAAAAATGAAGAGACCATCAAGCCAACCGAGATTTTTTCGACACATGAGCCATTTATCCTCGCACACCGGTGCAGAGCAATGACGACTGATGGATGAGTGCCAGTGAAACGCAGTTAAGCTTTTCTGTTTTGCTCTGATGTGAAGTGGAGAAGCTTGACTCCAGCTACCAATTCCGGCAGATGCATCTCTATATATGAGTTAGTTTTAGGGGTTTACAAAGAGTTTTGTTGCTGCTTTAGTGTGTTTTTCAGAGTATTTCTGTCTCCTTTTCATGTATAACAGACCCGTGCTCTTTAAAAGAGGGGAAGGGGTTGTCTGCATCAGGTCTACAGTGACTAGAATGCATTCTCGACTCGTGCCTATACACCAGCTCATGTTTACAAACAAACCGGAGCGCCCCTAGCGGATGCCACCGACGCCGTGCATGCACGGTGGACGGTGGGCAAGAAGCTCGCCGTCGCCCATAAACAAACCATTGAATTGCGTTGTTGTCGGCGTCGCTGGGAGCCCCCGTGCTCTTTTTCGCGCTGGAATTGTTGATTCTACGTCCTCCTAACAATGTCTGACTACTTGAGCGGCTTCAGCAAAATTAACGAAGCAAAACTTTGCGTGAATACTGTGACGTGCGGCGATTCATTTTACGTGGACGCCGCAGAATGGGCGCTAAAACCCGACTCCCACGATGAAATTGTGCTCGCTATTTTCAGTCGCGACATCGCACGGGCTGCAAAAGCGTGGACCATAGCTGAGATGGTGGACGTCGATACTGAAAACTGCGAGTAGAATCGGGCATTACAAGTCGGTGATGGCCACTGGTAACAATGATCAACATCTTCTTGTATCTACTGTTTACACTTAGCCTACTTACCCCAACCAACCACCTTCAAAAGTGTTTTGAGGCCTGCACTTAGTTCTTATCGCAATTACCGGGTCAACGTTTGGTTTACGGGCCGCTGTCGTTTGAACGAGCTGACGACAAAAAGCAGACAAGTTTGAAAGAGCAGACAACAGTTCGAACGCATGCGCGATGGAATGCGGGAAAGAAGCATTGCATCCCGCATCAACAAACCATTGGAATGTCACGTTGTCGGCGTCTGCGTGAGTGTGTATACTCTTTTTCGCGTTAAAATTGTCGATTCTACGTCCTCATAGCAATGTCTTACCACTTTAATCGCCTGAGCGAAATTATGAAGGCTCATTGCGCCGCTAAACTCTGCGTAAATAGTTTGACGTGCGGCGATTCATTCGCATGAACGCCGCAGAATGGACGTCAAAACCATGATGAGATTCTTCTAGCTATTTTCGGTCGCGACGTCGCTCGTGCTGCAAAAGTGTAGAAGGTAGCGGCGATGATTGACGTCGATACTGAAAATTGGAGGCAAGAACAGACCAAGCGTAACAAGTCGGTGATGGCCACTGGTACCAATGATCAACATCTTGTATCTACTGTTTACACCGAGCCTACTTAAGTCTTTTGAGGCCTGCAATTACTTCTTATTGCAATCACCGGGTCAAAGTTTGGTCTACGGGTCGCTTTTGTTTGAATGAGCAGACGACAAAAAGCAGACAAGTTTGAAAGAGCAGACGAAAGTTCAAACGATCAGGCGGCCGTGTGATTTTGAAGATGCACTGAGCCCGTGGGTGGTCCGGACAACTTGGTGGTTTTCTCTCAATCATGTTAGAACAAAACAAATACATCTGGCGACCACAAAGTGTTTCCCGCACAAGCAATCGTAGTTCGACAGCGTCTGGTTTGCCCTTTTCACGGCTACTATCCACGTTCTCAGATGAACGGAGGGGGCAGAAACACATGAAAACTAATCTTCAAACCTTTCCAGACTCTCTTGGTACAGCCCCCGTCGCAGGATTTTGAGGAGAAGGCAGGTTTTCTGTCCGGTTTCTTCCAAAAAATCACAGGAATGCATGTCTGGCACGGCGACTTCTGCCCACCGCCCCAGACCGAAAGTGCGCCTGACGCGCCACCACCGCGGCGTGACGTAGGAGAGTTGAGTTTGTGTATAGTGTCCTACACAACTCACGTATTGAAGGTGGTTCCAAGGTTGGAGGGAATAAATCGCATCATAAGAGCTGGTATGTCATTCTGTCAGACACTGCGATACTGACGGTCTGTTGTAGAAGTGTTCTGGCACAAGAGACGAGGTTAGTGTAAGCGCCTCTGTCATCACAGCATCCCAACTTGTTGCTGTAGAAGCCTCTTTGTACTGTGAAACAGAGAGAGCAACAGCATGACACTTCTATGACGTCATCAGGCTGAAATTGACGGACCACATTGGGAAGAGTAAACACGCTTCTCAGAAACACTCTCCAGGTACTATAGTCACGTCTATTAAGTGCCATGGCAGTGTCTGTGCCTGGATGAGTAGTAGCTCGGTCACTTCCATATGCGCAAGTATCGGTTGAAGGCTCAGCTTTGTCTGGTGTAGTCGAGACGTGCTCGTCATGGAAAGCATTTCGTGCTGGTTGCCTTTTTTTTAAGATTACATACTTGGTCCTCTCAGCTGACAGATCGAGTCTGACACCTTTGAGATGTCATTTTGTAGCTACTAAACGGGGAGTATTCCTGTGGCCCACATCTCATTCAGCCAGGCAAGGATCGTCTCTAGCCTCCTGTTGGGTGTTGCATAGCATGTTTGCATTGATGCCATCCAGGCAGGGTGCACTCAATTTTTATATGACTGGTCCATTCGTATGGGTCCGTGTTCATGACTGGGCGTGAGGCGTCGCAGACCTAAGGACTTCGGACATGCTCGACTGTCTAATACCCTTTTATCTCAGTCCTGGAATATTTTATTCTCTTTATGTCACTTCCAAGCAAAGCAGCATATGGTCACGAATGACAGGCAGAGAGATGGTTAGTGCAGTAGCAAACTAAATGTTGAATAGAGGCGAACTTGTGCCCAAAACAAGAAATACAAAAAGGTGGCGTTGAAGGTCGGCGGTGTAGCACGATCGAGCGCAAGAGCGAGACTGCCTCCGGTGCTCGCGACCTTTGTGCTCCCTAATCCCTTTGCATTGCTTCACACGTCCTACATTATTAATGGTGCACTAGCGAATGAAGAATGCATCGCTGAAAGACTAAAAAATAAACTAATTATTAATGCAATGAATGCATAAAACATCAAATCCCACTCCTCCTGCATTTGATTCCTGCCCCAAATAAAATAGACCTTTTGGCAAGAGGTATTGCTATTTTTCTGTATTTAGCACACACAATCTTGCCCAGAGCAACTAGCATGCACTCGCTGAACTGTCCTTTTTTCCTAACAGCGAGTTTTTTTTTTAAACAGTGAATACCAGTGGCACTCATGTGCATACTGTATCTGCACTCCTGTGTAGGTGGCAGTCAGAAATGCTGAACTTTTGATCTGAAAGTATTGGAACACCACACACTTGGCCTGTTGGCAAGTACAGAAATTAAAATAGAGATCTTGTGACTTACACTGGTGTCCGTGTCGGGGATCTCCTTGTCCGTCGCCTCAGGACACTCATCTGGGTCAGGAATAGGAGCGAAAGCTCTCATGAGGAGCTCTGCAAATTAAAAGGCTTGGCTTAAAAATTAAGCATTCAAAATATTTCATCAGTGTGATTGCCCAACATGCTCAAGATGAATCAACACACATGTCTGTGACAAATGAGGTTTGAACTCAATATATGCTCACGCTACTGTCCAAAATGTTTTGTCATAATCCCTTTACAATTATGACAGGCAAACTCCTCGGCCTAGCAGTCATACAGCAACAACAATATTGTCCCTTTACAACATTGAAGCATTGCCAATGTACACTCCAGGCTAACCTCCAATAGTGCTGAATCTACAGGCTGCGGCTGTAAGTACTGACATGTGGGGCAAGCTGCCTTTTTTGCTCCATTTTTAATATTTTACCACCTCCAAGTTGAGCTCTAAAAAAAAGGACATAAAGCATCTTGCAAAATTATGTTTGTGTGCCCAATTTTAAGCATGTATGTTTGTAATTTGAATTTTGCAAGGCATGCCAAACCTGTTAGTCTTTACTCGCGACCCTCTATGTACGACCACCCTGTTTTTTTCCGTAACTTTAGTTTCGACTAATGAGCACTAGAGATTTTTGGCGTAGGGCCTACAAAAAGCAGAATGTTGCGTGAAAGGAAACTTGCCTGTAGGTGTCACTGGCGACAATCCCCCGCTTGCCTCGGGTGCCACCACTAGATTTGCCTGTTCCAAGGCCATTTGTGGCTTTTTTGAGCTGAAAGGAAGTATGAGCATGTTACGCTCGCAAAAGAAATTAAAGTTTATTTATAGTCTAATAATATAATATGCATAGTACGCTCTGGGGTGGATCTGGTGCTTGAGGAAGCTCAGCAAGTTCCAGAGCGTCCAGCTTGGCTGCCGGATGTCGTCCCTGCCAGCCCCGCTTCGGCCCGTACAGTTTCTGGCCTCCCGACCATACCTGCCTCGTATGGCCTGCCATGCACGTTTGCATTCATCTGCACTGCGCTCTGCAGTAAAAAAACCAAATATTTACAAATTAAGGCATTTACCTTTTGAAGAAACGTTCTAGCCCATAACGAAAGGAAAGAAGACTTGTCTTAGTTCGAGTCACCATGGTACAAGTCATAAAAATCTTACTAATTTTCTTCCCATATGATTTCACTGGGTCCGTTATTCATTTTCCATAATTTTGTGGGGGAGGTTTGGCTGTTCCTTGATGATGTGGGGACCGCATAAATCTTTCAACATGCACTAAGTCTGGCTCAGAGGCAATAAATTATGTTTAGAATGTACTCACTGTTTAACATTTGTAAGCCGGCTCAAGTGCTTTAAATAGGGTGACCCAAGTCACCAGGCTCGATCTAAAACACACCGTAAAAATCGACGCCTGCACGTAGTAATCTAAATTTTTCGTCAAAAGTGTATTTCACAGATCGGTGTTTTCTTGCAAAATTAGAAAGCGTAGCTATCTTTCTGTAAAAAAATAGGGCCAAGAAACTTGCCAGGGTCAACGGCGAGCGGCGACGCAGACCAAGTCGAATAGCCGGGCGGGTTTGGCGCTTGTATTGATAGATGGCGCTACCTCCTTAATGAGACTGCTCGCGACTACCATGGTTTATTAAAATGAACATAATCTTTTTGTAATGTACCTCAGGTATGTCTTTTATAGCCTCTTCAAGGTACCGGGCATTCATGGGTGCTTCAGCTCGAACAATGCCCGCACTTGTGTCCCGAGAAAACAAATGCCCATCAGTTTTTCATCTATGCAGGTATTCTCTACACACAACCTTTCGTTGCATGCTACAGCATGGCACAGATTTAACAACAAAAGTTTAGCAGCTTGCTGCAAGGGGCAAGTTGCCTTGAAACAGATTCCCAATACTATTACGGCGAACCTAGAGTGCACTATAATTGTTTCCATCTTTTTGTGCGTGATGAAATTCTGATGAGCATGTGACGTACAGGAAAACTCGGAACAGACTATTCTACAAGAATAGTGTTTTCTTTATGCTAGCGCGTGTTAAAGCTTCTCGGTCAGTGTAGGTATCAATTCGACAGCGATTCAACAATGACGTGACAATTCACTTGACAACGCACTCGATCGCTAGTTCGTTATTTGCTTCAGCTAGTCTGCTTCAGTTTTAAAGTATGCCCTTACATTGCGTGCGTACGATAGACTTCAGCGATCGACGATAGGATTCGGCTACCGAAATATCTGGCTTCGAGCGCCTAGCTGATCTAGCTTTCAATAAGAGGTGTGCCGCTTGAGCAGCGGGAGCATTTGCGCCCAGCTTTCAGATCAGACCGCGAGATTGAAAGACGGGGGAAAGTGTTTGGCTCGAGTGATTCCTGCGAGTCTGAGCAATTAGCTGGTCTAGCTTTGAATCAGAGCTGTGCCGCTCGAGCAGAGGGAGCATTTGCGCCCAGCTTTCAGATCAGACCGCGAGATTGAAAGACGGGGGAAAGTGTTTGGCTGGAGTGATTCCTGCGAGTCTGAGCAATTAGCTGGTCTAGCTTTGAATCAGAGCTGTGCCGCTCGAGCAGAGGGAGCATTTGCGCCCAGCTTTCAGATCAGACCGCGAGATTGAAAGACGGGGGAAAGTGTTTGGCTGGAGTGATTCCTGCGAGTCTGAGCAATTAGCTGGTCTAGCTTTGAATCAGAGCTGTGCCGCTCGAGCAGAGGGAGCATTTGCGCCCAGCTTTCAGATCAGACCGCGAGATTGAAAGACGGGGGAAAGTGTTTGGCTGGAGTGATTCCTGCGAGTCTGAGCAATTAGCTGGTCTAGCTTTGAATCAGAGCTGTGAAGCTCGAGCAGAGGGAGCATTTGCGCCCAGCTTTCAGATCAGACCGCGAGATTGAAAGACGGGGGAAAGTGTTTGGCTGGAGTGATTCCTGCGAGTCTGAGCAATTAGCTGGTCTAGCTTTGAATCAGAGCTGTGCCGCTCGAGCAGAGGGAGCATTTGCGCCCAGCTTTCAGATCAGACCGCGAGATTGAAAGACGGGGGAAAGTGTTTGGCTGGAGTGATTCCTGCGAGTCTGAGCAATTAGCTGGTCTAGCTTTGAATCAGAGCTGTGCCGCTCGAGCAGAGGGAGCATTTGCGCCCAGCTTTCAGATCAGACCGCGAGATTGAAAGACGGGGGAAAGTGTTTGGCTGGAGTGATTCCTGCGAGTCTGAGCAATTAGCTGGTCTAGCTTTGAATCAGAGCTGTGCCGCTCGAGCAGAGGGAGCATTTGCGCCCAGCTTTCAGATCAGACCGCGAGATTGAAAGACGGGGGAAAGTGTTTGGCTGGAGTGATTCCTGCGAGTCTGAGCAATTAGCTGGTCTAGCTTTGAATCAGAGCTGTGAAGCTCGAGCAGAGGGAGCATTTGCGCCCAGCTTTCAGATCAGACCGCGAGATTGAAAGACGGGGGAAAGTGTTTGGCTGGAGTGATTCCTGCGAGTCTGAGCAATTAGCTGGTCTAGCTTTGAATCATAGCTGTGCCGCTCGAGCAGCGGGAGCATTTGCGCCCAGCTTTCAGATCAGACCGCGAGATTGAAAGACGGGGGAAAGTGTTTGGCTGGAGTGATTCCTGCGAGTCTGAGCAATTAGCTGGTCTAGCTTTGAATCAGAGCTGTGCCGCTCGAGCAGAGGGAGCATTTGCGCCCAGCTTTCAGATCAGACCGCGAGATTGAAAGACGGGGGAAAGTGTTTGGCTGGAGTGATTCCTGCGAGTCTGAGCAATTAGCTGGTCTAGCTTTGAATCAGAGCTGTGCCGCTCGAGCAGAGGGAGCATTTGCGCCCAGCTTTCAGATCAGACCGCGAGATTGAAAGACGGGGGAAAGTGTTTGGCTGGAGTGATTCCTGCGAGTCTGAGCAATTAGCTGGTCTAGCTTTGAATCAGAGCTGTGCCGCTCGAGCAGAGGGAGCATTTGCGCCCAGCTTTCAGATCAGACCGCGAGATTGAAAGACGGGGGAAAGTGTTTGGCTGGAGTGATTCCTGCGAGTCTGAGCAATTAGCTGGTCTAGCTTTGAATCAGAGCTGTGCCGCTCGAGCAGAGGGAGCATTTGCGCCCAGCTTTCAGATCAGACCGCGAGATTGAAAGACGGGGGAAAGTGTTTGGCTGGAGTGATTCCTGCGAGTCTGAGCAATTAGCTGGTCTAGCTTTGAATCAGAGCTGTGCCGCTCGAGCAGAGGGAGCATTTGTGCCCAGCTTTCAGATCAGACCGCGAGATTGAAAGACGGGGGAAAGTGTTTGGCTGGAGTGAGTCCTGCGAGTCTGAGCAATTAGCTGGTCTAGCTTTGAATCAGAGCTGTGCCGCTCGAGCAGAGGGAGCATTTGCGCCCAGCTTTCAGATCAGACCGCGAGATTGAAAGACGGGGGAAAGTGTTTGGCTGGAGTGATTCCTGCGAGTCTGAGCAATTAGCTGGTCTAGCTTTGAATCAGAGCTGTGCCGCTCGAGCAGAGGGAGCATTTGCGCCCAGCTTTCAGATCAGACCGCGAGATTGAAAGACGGGGGAAAGTGTTTGGCTGGAGTGATTCCTGCGAGTCTGAGCAATTAGCTGGTCTAGCTTTGAATCAGAGCTGTGCCGCTCGAGCAGAGGGAGCATTTGCGCCCAGCTTTCAGATCAGACCGCGAGATTGAAAGACGGGGGAAAGTGTTTGGCTGGAGTGATTCCTGCGAGTCTGAGCAATTAGCTGGTCTAGCTTTGAATCAGAGCTGTGCCGCTCGAGCACAGGGAGCATTTGCGCCCAGCTTTCAGATCAGACCGCGAGATTGAAAGACGGGGGAAAGTGTTTGGCTGGAGTGATTCCTGCGAGTCTGAGCAATTAGCTGGTCTAGCTTTGAATAAGAGCTGTGCCGCTCGAGCAGAGGGAGCATTTGCGCCCAGCTTTCAGATCAGACCGAGAGATTGAAAGACGGGGGAAAGTGTTTGGCTGGAGTGATTCCTGCGAGTCTGAGCAATTAGCTGGTCTAGCTTTGAATCAGAGCTGTGCCGCTCGAGCAGAGGGAGCATTTGCGCCCAGCTTTCAGATCAGACCGCGAGATTGAAAGACGGGGGAAAGTGTTTGGCTGGAGTGATTCCTGCGAGTCTGAGCAATTAGCTGGTCTAGCTTTGAATCAGAGCTGTGCCGCTCGAGCAGAGGGAGCATTTGCGCCCAGCTTTCAGATCAGACCGCGAGATTGAAAGACGGGGGAAAGTGTTTGGCTGGAGTGATTCCTGCGAGTCTGAGCAATTAGCTGGTCTAGCTTTGAATCAGAGCTGTGCCGCTCGAGCAGAGGGAGCATTTGCGCCCAGCTTTCAGATCAGACCGCGAGATTGAAAGACGGGGGAAAGTGTTTGGCTGGAGTGATTCCTGCGAGTCTGAGCAATTAGCTGGTCTAGCTTTGAATAAGAGCTGTGCCGCTCGAGCAGAGGGAGCATTTGCGCCCAGCTTTCAGATCAGACCGCGAGATTGAAAGACGGGGGAAAGTGTTTGGCTGGAGTGATTCCTGCGAGTCTGAGCAATTAGCTGGTCTAGCTTTGAATCAGAGCTGTGCCGCTCGAGCAGAGGGAGCATTTGCGCCCAGCTTTCAGATCAGACCGCGAGATTGAAAGACGGGGGAAAGTGTTTGGCTGGAGTGATTCCTGCGAGTCTGAGCAATTAGCTGGTCTAGCTTTGAATCAGAGCTGTGCCGCTCGAGCAGAGGGAGCATTTGCGCCCAGCTTTCAGATCAGACCGCGAGATTGAAAGACGGGGGAAAGTGTTTGGCTGGAGTGATTCCTGCGAGTCTGAGCAATTAGCTGGTCTAGCTTTGAATCAGAGCTGTGCCGCTCGAGCAGAGGGAGCATTTGCGCCCAGCTTTCAGATCAGACCGCGAGATTGAAAGACGGGGGAAAGTGTTTGACTGGAGTGATTCCTGCGAGTCTGAGCAATTAGCTGGCCTAGCTTTGAATCAGAGCTGTGCCGCTCGAGCAGAGGGAGCATTTGCGCCCAGCTTTCAGATCAGACCGCGAGATTGAAAGACGGGGGAAAGTGTTT